AAAAAATCTAACATTGAAATTTGAGGACACTATAAAAACGTAGCTTGAACATCAAGGTGGAGAAGCTCTGAAACCTCTAGGCATCATGGTAAGGAATTCTAAGAAGAAAATATTCAAATGAAATATCACACTATGGCTGTGGTGTTGCGTGTGAGTGAAGGGTCTCAGCTTCTGAAGAACAGGTTTCGGCTGGGTAGAAACATCTGAGGGATGTGCTGAAATACACACCTGTCACAATTTTATAGCCCAGGTCGGTGAGAGTCGCTGCCATTGCTCTGCAGTTTGCCACCACCTGCACCTGATAGGCCCGGAACTCAGGGGTCAGCGCTTGTTTCAGAGCCACCGCAACCCCTGGCATCACACGACAGGCACGTTAGAAACACTTGCATAAAAAGCTTTCATGTTCTTCAGAAAGGAAAAAAAAAAACAAAAAAGAAGAAAGCATTCATGAATCGTTCAGAACTCCGAAGAGAACGGTCTTCGCGGTCTCTTGCGTGACCTAGTCTGCAGTCACCCTGGGTTTCGACGGGGTGAGGGAGTTCGGTACCTGCAATGGCGTGGTTGTGTGGTCCTCCCTGCAGGCCTGGGAACACAGCCTGGTTGATCAGACTTTCTAAGTTGTAGAGGCTCTCTTTCCCAGTCTTTGGGTCAACGCTGCGGACCCCTGCAAAATACACAGGCATTTTTATCTCACTTCCACTATCATTTCATTGCAGAGTGTATATCGCATATATGCAGTAGTGTGTATAGGCATAGGAAATTTGAACAGGACGCCAGGGTTACACCCCTACTCTTTTCGAGAAATGCCCTGGAATTTTTAATGACCATAGAGAGTCAGGACCTCGGTTTTACGTCTCATCCGAAGGACGGCGCTTGTTTACAGTATAGTGTCCCCGTCACTATACTGGGGCATTAGGACCCACATAGACTGCAGGGTGAGCGCCCCCTGCTGGCCTCACTAACACCTCTTCCAGCAGCAACCTTAGTTTTTCCCAGGAGGTCTCCCATCCAGGTACTGACCTGGCTCACACCTGCTGAGCTTCAGTGGGCTGCCAATTGTAAGTTGCAGGGTGACATGGCTGCTGGCTGACGGTAATGTAGAGTATCGTGGAGAAACTTTTCAAAAACCAGCGCATCAATGATTTCTCCGACTGTCAGCTCCCACGCATCCATAACTGGCGTGGAACACAACACACAGTTTGGAAACGCAGCTGAAGCTGGAACAAGTTGGTCTGAGAGAGGCGCCAGTGGTTCCAGCAGGGACACATCTCAGAGAGGAACAAGAGGCTGGTGTACATCGCAGGACACGAGACAAGAGCATTAGACCTATCTGGAGAACGCTCATGAGGAATTGCTCATGAGGTGTATTTAAGACCTGCTGAGAAGAGAAAGGGGCAGGCACAGTCCCAACCAGGGATGATCCTCAGAGTTAGCGTTTCACAATTAAAGGCTCTGAGATAGGTGGAGAATGCAAGGCGCTTCTATACACGAAAGGTTGTGGAAGTTTAAAACAATCTATCCTCCTGGATTGTTGAGCTGATACCCTGCAGATGAGATCCTTCGAAACCGGAGCTGAGAGACTAGAGTATGGTAGATTAAGAATAGACTCACCAAGAACAAACACCCAGGTGTTATTATGTCTGTGCGGGCGCCGGTGACTGGACCCGCTTACACCCGTGGGACAGCACACCCCCCGGCGCTGTTACAACACGCACAGGCAGACTTTAACAGCGTGCAGCCTATTAATTCATTACTTATGTCTTTATTAGTTCCAATTCCCTAAAATACTTCCCTCGCCCTTCACGCAGGGTTCTGTCATTAGCTGGGCTGCTCTGTGTTTCCTACCTCGAAGTTTCTTTACGCCAGTTTTCTGTTTTCTCTACATTTCTGCGCTTGCTTACCTATCGCGGCGCTTTCCCTGTTCCTTGTCACTACCGCTCTGCAGGCCCGAGTGTTGGGCTTATTTTTTCTTTCTTTTCTGGTTCCCCTTTTCTTTAATTGTGGCGTTTCCCATCTCACCACTGCCTGAGACCTGCTTGTGAGCTCTCAGCCACGGCTATTTTTTCACCTCAGCATGTCATTACAGGTGTAGGACGGTCTGGGCACAATATATTCCTGGGGATACTGAGCCCTAAAGATCTAATTCTTGCAGGCAGAGAACCATTAGTGACAGTTCCCTTCAGGGTAACAAAAGTAAGCTCATCTACTTACAATCTTTTTCACATTCTTCACCATTTTAATTAATAATAACAATTCCTTACATTTATACAGTGCTTTACTGGGCACTCTACTCATAGGGCTTTACAGGTAATAGGAAATCCGCTCCACCACCACCACCAGTACACAGCCCCACCTGGATGATGCACCGGTGCGCTCACCACACACCAGCTATCAATGAGGAGGAGAACAGAGTGAGGAAGACAGTTCAGAGATGGGGATTATTAGGAGGCCAAGATTGGTAAAGGCCAGTGGGAAGTTGGCCAGGACACTGAGGTAACACCCCTACTCTTTTCGAGAAACGCCCTGGGATTTTTAATGACCACAGAGAGTCAAGACCTCGGTTTTACGTCTCATCCAAAGGACGGCGCTTGTTTACAGCATAGTGTCCCCATCACTATACTGGGGCATTAGGACCCACATAAACTGCAAGGTGAGTGCCCCCTACTGGCCCCGCTAACACCTCTTCCAGCAGCAACCTTAGCTTTCTCCAAGGAGGACACCCATCCAAGTACCTGCTGAGCTTCATGGCGATATAGCTGCTGGCCAGATACTTCAAAACCCAAAAATATGTTTAAGGAATGAATCCTAGGAAGTCCCTCTAAAGAAGCCGGTTCTCCACCACAACAGCTGACACAGCCGTAGCAGGGTCTTCGGATCTCGCCAGGCGAGCAAAACCAGACAGACCCAAAGCGTGCCGTTTGGAAAAAGGACAAACTCGCTCACCTTTCCTGTAGAAGATAAGCCCGGCCCTGCAGCCCCGGAGGGTCTTGTGAGTCGTGGTCGAGACCACATCGCAGTGCTCAAAGGGCGAGGGCACGACCCCAGCCGCCACCAGGCCGCTGATGTGCGCCATGTCAGCCAACAGATAAGCTCCGTTCTCATCAGCTATCTGCCTCATCCGGGCATAGTCCAGGTTGCGAGAGTAGCAGCTGACACCTGGAAAGCAGCCCAGGAGAAGAGCAATCTGTACCTCATTCTCAAGATTCTAGGTGGGCATCACAAGATAAAAGTAAAACATTTACAGGGAGCAGATCTGAACTCAATCAACAGCTTGCTATCTTATCACGCTAACAGCACCAGTCCAATCACATTAAGACTTTAAATGCACACATTTACAGTACATCTATGTACTGTAGATAGTCTTCAACTGATAGTTTTGTCTGATTTTGTTATGATCAATTAACATATTTTGTAAATATATATAGTTAGCACCCTATAAAAAACTTATTTTACAGACTTTTCAACACAATTTTGAATTCTGCAACGTAAAATCTTTATTTTTACAATAGGGCTGATGTTACCAAACTCTTCAAGTGCTCTCTCCCCAGGAGTTGCAAAAAACATTTCCAAATAGAACCACCTACAAAAACCTGAATTCCGCAGGGCATCAGTAATTGTGCACAGTAACACAGGTACATTATCACAGTCCAACCTACACTTTTTTCATGGGGACATTGAGGTGCACAGAAAGTTCTCAAAGTTCAAGCAAAACGGATTTCAAGCAAGACATTTTGGGAGCATTTCTGAGATACACCAACACAAAACATTCAGCTGCCTGCCCTTTAGTGCAGGCACAAAGAACTGAGTTGGTGAACAATGAACTTTGCCCCCTTCCTCACTCTTGTAAGCAGATTAGTTACTGTACACTTAGGCACCTGCAATGATGAGTTTGGGATGGAAGAGGCGTGCATTCTCTGCAAGTCGATCATAGTCTATGTAACCGGTATCTGGGTTGACCTGAAAGCAAAGAAATGTGTTAATTCAGCTAGGCTGTTTAATTTTACTGACTAAAGACAAAATGACTTTGAAAATATAATACAGTTGAACAAAATTATTGGTACTGTAAATGTAAGTGGAACTAGTTAATCATATACATATTCATATATCATAATCATATAGCTATACACAAAATAACCCTCTTCAGCACTTTCCCTAAAGGACAAAGCAAATACCTCTGATGTTAACGCAAATAATAAACCTCCAATGACTATAAAAGAATAAATCTACATTGCTTCAATACTGCTCTGAGTAGCAAGGTAATATTTAACAAACGATGTAATTGGAAGCATTTCACTTTAATAGGCATGACTGTTTTCCAAATACAAAATGCCTTAAAAGTTACATGTGAGGGGTTTCTGTGTAGCTCAAGTAAAGGAGCTACTCAGAAGCACCTGGGTTCGAGACTGTGTCGTAGTCCATGCTGGCTGTGGGATTCCCTAAGCAGTAGTGGACAACTGAGCATTGCATCGTCCACTGGCCTGGGTGCCTGCAGGCAGGTGGTGTTTCTGGTGAGGGATGCACATCTCCTCCATTTGCTGCACATCTTCCTACATGGGGTTGCATTGCCTGCATCTCTGATGGCAATTCCAAAAAGGGTGGATATGTAATAATGTCCCATTAAATATACTGTATTTCATGGAGGGAAAGCAGTCCTTTGCCAACAGCAGTAATGAATGCTGGTGTCTGAGAAGCTGCTGGGAGCCGAGAGAGCCCTGCTTGACTAACCCCACCCACCCACCAGCAGCACTCAGACACTTGTGAGCACACTGCATGGAGAACCAGCTACTGATATGACAAAGACTCGAACCTGCAGCACCTTCATCAGGGGAATCAATCTGGACTACCCTGCTGAGTGCTGGTTGAGCCACTCGGAAACAACCAACGTTTTTGCAGCAGAGGCAGAGACGTTTTTTTGTACACAGCTCAACTCATCAACAGGGTTAATCATAAGGGGTCGACAGGTAAAGGTAAAGGCTTGAAGCATCGGAAAGTAGACATAGGTGAGGTGGCACCAAGCTATACATGCTGACTCATGGGACTCTGCTTCATTGCCTTGGTACAGCCTGGACAATCATGTAACTGTGCACTGGTCTCTGAGCCCTAGGTGCCACACATCATTTCAGCTCATGTAGCAAATTATTCTGCTGGGATCAAGTCCAGGGTCATCCACAACACAACTGTCCCCATCTTTATCTCACGAGACAGCTGTTGTTACATGACCAGCATAAGAATATGCGCTGCCTAGCTGGAATGAGATCATATCAGGATGAGCTCGATTAATATAGTGTTGTACAGTCAGACAGTTATTTCGTTAGTCACCATATCATCACACATCTAGCAATTAGCGCATTGTTCTACACATCTGTGCCGCACACTGATGTCAATCAGGGTGGTCTACACAAAGCCTCAATTCATTACTAAAAAGGAGCTGGCTCCACTGCTGGCATTTTCACTGTAGGCAAATCGGCATTAGCATGCAATGCTACAGTAACACGCAAAGCTGTTATGTTAAGCATTTAAACACAAGAATGAGCAATGGTACAATACAAAAGTTTTCTTCTCTTCTTTCCCCCCCACCAAACACATTATACAGCAAAGTTGCCACAAAGCTCAGCAATTTCAATGTAAGCCTGTTGATACAGCTCCTTTACCTTGTATGGCATCGACTCAAAGAAAATGGAGGTGGCCGAGATTTTCTTCTTATCAGTCATGAATCCGTGAGTCAGATGACCGCCGTCTGGTAGGTCCAATCCCATGATCCTCCCGTGGGGCTCCACCAGGGCGGTGTACACAGCGAAGTTAGCAGGGGACCCTGTCAAAACAAACCCCAACAAGAAAGCACTCATTCATAGGCTAATTTCATTACCCAATTCCTTTACACGCCTTTAAGAAATCCTGAGAGCAGGCTGTCACACTTTCTGTATAAAAATGAGTGTATTCTATGAAAAGAGACGACTTAACATTTTATACTGGTCAGCGCACAGACATCCTTCAGTAAATCAAAGATTCGCAAGACCCCAGTTCTTTATAACCACCCAAACATTTGCCTTTTATTCAAGTGAGCAAAACAGAATTGGTTTAATCAAAACGGCACTGGCACATCAGTGAAAAGATAAACAGAAATATGCTTCCAGCAGGCTTTATCAAAACTAGTTTCGTAACACTAGCCAAAGCAGAGTTTTGGAAAGAAATAATGGGAGAAAATTTCAAAGGCACCTATTAGTGCATTTTGTCGATGGAATAATCCACCCGAGTTAATGTTTCCATTCGAAAGGAATGGTAGCCAGCACTGGGAATAGTCTCCAGCAGGAAGTGCGGGCAGTTTCGGAGCAGCGGGGATTGTGCTGTGCTACACACCTGAGTATGGCTGGACATTGACCCCCCATTTCTCAGCGTCTAGGCTGTACACCTCCAGGGCTCGCTTCTGACACAGCCTCTCCAGCTCATCCACGAACTCCGTGCCTCCGTAATACCTGGAGACAAGCCACAACCGTCCCATGATGCATCTGAGAATCTGTGAATGGCAACTAGCACGAGACAAGGGCCTCCACAACGAAACTCCCTTGTCCATATCTTAGTGCAGGCAACGGAAGAGGCACCTTCCCATTAGGAACGAATTTTAAAATCTCCTGATCCTGTCACATTTACTCACTGAGACATTTAAATGCATTTTTTTTTCTTTCTTTCACTCAGAAACACAAGCCCAATCAAATTTTGGCGCATTTTTCCCAAAACTGAATTTCCGACTCCTTAAACACATCTGGAATTTGTCGCCACTACTGTCTCAAGACTTCAGCTTTATCACCCTGCTGCTCACCACTGGCAGCCCACTGAAGCTCAGCAGGTGTGAGCCTGGTCAGTACCTGGATGGGAGACCTCCTGGGAAAAACTAAGGCTGCTGCTGGAAGAGGTGTTAGTGGGACCAGCAGGGGGCGCTCACCCTGTGGTCTGTCTGGGTCCTAATGCACCAGTATAGTGATGGGGACTGTAAAAAGGTGCCGTCCTTCAGATGAGATGTAAAACTGAGGTCTTGACTGCCTGTGGCCTTTAAAAATCCCAAGGGCATTTCTCCAAGACGGTAGTCCTGGTGTCCTGGCCTAATTTCCTCCTGGCCTTTACCCAATCATGGCCTCCTAATCATCCTGGTGGGGCTGCAAATTGGTGGTGGTGGAGGGTATCCCCATTACCTGTAAAGTGCTTTGAGTGGAGTGTCCAGAAAAGCGCTATAGAAGTGTAAGGGATTATTATTATGCAGTCTTTCTAGGAAGACTTCCAGAAACATATAGAAAAGTCTTGAACAACCTCAATTAATGTGCATGTGCGAGCTTCTCGCGCTGTGACAGACCTTTGCCCGGGATATCCTTCAGAGTACTTGTTGTTCATGCAGGACCCTAGAGCCTCTAGCACTGCCCTGCTGGTGAAGTTCTCAGAGGCGATGAGCTCTAAGCCGTAGATCTGCCTTTTCTTTTCATTCTTGATAATTTCAAACACCTGCCGGAGATTGAGAGGAAGAGCAGCCTTATCCCCTGCTTCTCGGTACTTAATCACAACAAAAAAACGCCACAGCCGACACCAAAGCACAACAAACCAAACCATCAATTTAAGTTAGCCTTGAAGGGGAGGTGGTCTGATGAAATAGGTGCAGTTTGAATACAAATGCCAAGGTTCAGACAGGGCCAGTAATGTCGCCACATTGAAAACTCTTGTTTCACCTCAGCCTTGTCCTAGGTTGGCCTCCTTCTTGCTCAATCTACAGTGAGGTAGCCAAGAGGTACAAAAAAAAAAAGTTTTGGCCATACCACAATTAACGTCACCTAGGTTCTACAATATTCAGCCGGTTCTGGTCAAGAGGAGTTTGCAAAGAAACCGTCTTTCGGCTCACCTCCGGGTCATTGGAGCTGAGAGGCTCGCGCATTATCCTGTTGTGGGAATCCCAGGTGTCTTTGCTCTGGTCTCCATGGTTCCCATTATTGTGAGCCATGTCTGCCCTCCGGTTTTCTTACAGTTTCTGAAAGATGTGGCGGGTTGGATATTCTCCTCTGGGGGGGAAGGGGGGTGGAGTAAAGAAAACAAGGCTGCTCAAGGGGTAAAAACAGTTTCCCCAAAACTAATTGTAACTACACTACTGTAAAATAGCATTGTTGATAAAAACAAAGTTCAATTTCCTGTTTTAAAACGTTTCTGCAACAATAATCTTGTCCAGCGACTTAGGATGTACTGAAAGGGTAAAACTAAGGGAAAGTCTAATTTGCTACAAAATACTACATAATTTTAGTCAACGCCTTTAATACAAACCCCACCACAAAGTTCTCTGCTTTTGCTGAAGTAATAATGGTGAATTCAATTAAATAATTACATTAGAAATAAACGCCTTTCGTGCTCATACCAAACAGCTACTTTTAATCTTCATTCCATGGTAGCAAAAAATACAGCCTTTATTTAATCGGACCCAGAGAATTTCGACACTTTCAAAACAGCCGTTGGCAGTATGTCAGCACAATCAGGCGAGAGCCTGCTGATGTCTGCTGGTCACCGGTCGAACTCTGACCTCGTCTGCTCTTCATATTGAGAAACAATACTCCGGGTCTGAGCATTTTGTTCTGATTGGAACATTAATTATTAGCTCAAAAGCCTAGCGCTTTCCACTGAGGTGTTGCACAGTTGAGAATTAATCCAGGCTTACGATATAACCCTCTTCGCGAACTGTAAAACTTTTTTTCCCCCCTCAAGAACAAACAACGCTACCTAAAACGTGCCGAACGAAAGCTACGTAATCATTAAAAAAAGCTTATTAGAATATGTAATTCTGTTGAACTATATGATTATCATGTTCACAAACATGAACTGCATACTGTACAGCATTTCTGTTTGTCTTGTAATACTTCACTCTATCGGACCCTAGGAATTCCGAGTTGCACAACTCTACGAAAACAAAATGTTAATATAGTACAGCAGGATATCAAGTTATATAACTGCAGATAATGCGAAATGCATGCTAGGCTAACCAGTTCAGTCAGTACATATCACCATGCAGACATTTCAGACCCATGAGAAACATGGTGGTAAGTAAGTGTGCGCGCTTTGTATTTTCCCAGTTTTGCAAATTAATATCTTGCAATAGTCGCTGCAAACAATTACCGAATTTCTAAAACATTTTACAAATACAGTTATCTATATGCAACATAAACGTGACTACGTTAATACAGTAGTGTTAACTTTCATATCTCACAAAGCGCGACAAACGCCAGACAATATCAGATTTGTGAACCATCTGTCTGAACGGCAGAGGTGGCTGCAAAATAAAAGCAGTTTTTAATAAAACGCCTACTTTTATTCGCACACGTCTTAAAAATCAGGCGCTACTGTGCCTTGAAAATGACTGCTGGGACAGAAAACTCAAAACGTCCACTCACCCTCTTTGAAGGTTGAACAACTACTTTTGAGTGACAAGCCTTCCTGCCCGGAACACGCCCGAAAACAGCTCCCCGCCGAGCCAGTCCGAGGCGAGAAACATGAAATCCGCGAAAGCAGCAGCCAATTAAATAGACGCATCTTTCGCGCAGGCCTCGGGAGCGCGCTGTGCACAAGGGTTCGTGGACAATTAAGCGTGATTTTCATATGGAAAGTATGTGCTGGGGGGGGGGGAGGTCGTGCACGGCTTTAATTTGTAAAGAAGTTTTGCAGAGAAAAAAATCTTCCCAATTTGGGCAAAGACTCGTATAAGAGTTCGTTGTTTCCGTTTCACGGTCTTCGGAATACAGTAATGGCGATGAACTTTTTTACTTAACACTAGCATAACACGTTTAAAGGATACGGCGTGCATACGTTAAGAGGTGAAGCAAAAATAGGATTTTTTACATAATGACAGTTTTTCAGTCGCAATATCTAAGATCAGCCAACTATTCAAAAAACTTATTTTAATGTCATTGCCCAGAAAACGATTTTAGATCAAATATTGGCTATTGATTTTTTTTTGTACTTGCTGCAGCTAATTGATTGTTGTTAATCCCCCCCTTTAGACTATATAATAAAACAAAAACTGGTGAGAGTACAAAAGATACACAGTGCAATGCCAGACACGAAAAAATACATTGTTTCTAAGTGTCAGCTCACCCTGGGGTGACAGTGCTATCCTCATTGCAACAGACTACACCAGCCTGGGTATCCAACATGCACATATATAGCTTTGGGTGTAATAGCCAGCCTGGTTTCACATGTCTCTGTCAAGGAACAGGTGCTTTCATATATTGTGCATATATATGCTACACGCCTGTCAGCAGACTCATGTGCAAGAGATTTGTGTTACCAACAGAGAATACTGTATCTTGAGACATGTACAGAAACCACTGGTAACTATCAAAGCCTAAACCTATGCTGTGACTGTCATCTGGCATTCAGAAATGTTTCCAACTTGCTGCACCAGATGACTTAATGAACTTGAATTAGGCATGCCCAAGATAGAACTTCCAGAGATATAAAGGTTATGTGCAACACATATTATAAACATTCTTTACACATATTGTATAAATACACTGGATTCCCTAGAAACTAGGCTTCCGAGTTTGGGAAGAACATGTTCTGAATGTGATCACCACATATCCCAGTGGAATAGATTTCTGCTGGAGTTTATTTAACATTTTTTCCACAATATTCTGGAACCCTTTTAGAATATATCTGATTCAAGATGACTTGTACAATGCTGGGGAGCTTCTGGGGATATATATTATATATTTTGTTTACAGGTTACAGTTTGATTAGAGGCTCAAAAGGAAAGTTCAGAATTAACTCGGAAAACCCAGGCTCAATTTTCCCATCTCAAGAGCGAACATTCAGGTACAGGTCCAGTGTCTTTGCAAGGCTCTTTGAGATGGAAGCCTGATAAGGCTGAAATCGGTCAAACATGAAAGAAATGACAAAACAGATGATGCACACAATTCCCCACATTACAGCTTAGCCTCATATCATAGTAAGGAGTGTATACAAATGCTGTTCCCAACTTCTGTGGCATCAAGTGCAAAGGCTAATATTAGAGACAAGTTTAAATCATGAAATAATTTTATATGGCAATTAAAGTATTTAAAATTGGTTGAAATAAAATAGACTCCTTGTTTCACTTTGGCAGAAGGCTGATAAGCACACTCCAGCACGCAGCACCTAAATACTGGAGATTTCCAGACATGATCTTCTTTGCAAATAAAATATTGATTCTATCCATAGAATAATCTTCTTATCTACAGTGTTCACGCGACCATAAATTATTGCACACTTTAAAGTCCTTGTCACAGACGGTCTGTCTTCAACAGCCAGGCCATCAGTTAGAGAAGATTCTGCAGCAGTCCTTGAACAGAAGGGGTGCACTTCCCTGGGGTCACTGGACTTCCCATCATTTATTGAGAGACAAGGTATGCAATCCTTTCGCTGCTGCTGCTGCTGCGGTCACTGCTTCTTTAGCTAAAGAGAGGAACATCAAGCAACAGTTATGTTCAAATAGACAGCACTCTTCCAAATCACATCACTGATCTGGGCACTGCACAACACAGCATGCTGCTCAGTTGCTTCCTGCTGAGCAGAAACTCTTAGCCAACAGAAAGCCAGCAGTCTGACAGTCCAATGCAATATTTTTTTGAGATGTGATGGATTTCGGTTTGGCTGCATGGCCGGAGAAGTCCCTCTGCCACCTGGCTCACCTTTCCTCTCGTCCTCTTTCTTCCTGGCTGCGTCCTCTCGCTGTTTCCGGATGATGGCGAGCCGGGCCAGGTCGGCCTTGGCTTGCTCCGTTTTCCCCGCTAAGTGCATTTTCATATATCTCTCCTTCGCTTTCTGCTTCTCGATTTCTTCTCTGTTAAGAGCACCGACAACAACAACAACAAAAAAAGGGCCCAGTCACTGTGATCATCGGTACAAAAACGAATCGTGAGCCTTACTTTAACTGTTACTATTGCCATTACAACTCCAGCAACTTCCAAGAATTATCACAGAACGTCTTTTTGCTGAAGTTCAAAATTGAGCAGACATGACAGAGGTGACTTCAATAGGCTGATAAACATCTATCATCAGCAGGATGTCTACTGTAAAAAAAACCACAGGCTACTGGCTTCTATAGCCACCACTGGAAGTAACACAAGCTGTGCATCTGTGACGCGTTTCACAAAGGTCTGCATTGCTATCCTCTCAGACAGTCAGAACAAGTGCCTGTTCACTCGTTTCTGACCCCTAGACGCCACATGTCATCCAAGCTCTTCCCGCAAATGTTCAATGGGGCACACACTTGTGAATCACTCACCCATATTCATCAGGATGATATATTTAACTAATGATAATAATTCCTTACACTTATATAGCGCTTTTCTGGACACTCCACTCAAAGCGATTTACAGGTAATGGGGACTCCCCTCCACTACCAACAGTGTGCAGCCCCCACCTGGATGATGAGTTGGCAGCCATAGGGCGCCAGTACGCTCCCTAAACACCAGCTATCAGTGGGGAGGAGAGCAGAGTGATGAAGCCAATTCAGAGATGGGGATTATTAGGAGGCCATGATTGGTAAAGGCCAATGGGAAATTTGGTCAGGATGCTAGGATAACACCTACTATTTTTGAGAAACACCCTGGGATTTTCTAATGAGCACAGTGAGCCAGGATCTCGGTTTTACATCTCATCCAAAGGACACAGCCATTTTACAGTATAGTGTAGAACAGACCATGAGCATGCCCTGCTGGCCCCACTAACACCACTTCCAGCAGCAACCTTAGTTTTTCCCACGAGGTCTCCCATCCAGGTAATGGCCAGGCTGACACCTGCTGAGCTTCAGCTTCAGATTTTAAGACTATATCTATCACCTTAAAACTCAACTATATCTATATTAAACTTTGGACTTATTACCAAAGAGGACTTGGCCTCACAGCAAATAACAGCGCGCTGACATTGGGCGAGACATCAACATGGCTGCCACACAGGCTTTGTCTTCTTCATCAGTGGGGCCTATTGCTTCCTTTCTTTGTTTCTCTTTCTTGATTTTCAGCCATCTGGATATTCAAAATGTTAAATCACCTCAAAATGGTGCCCAATTGTCTATATCACAATTACAAAATGATCCATTCTAACAACTGCTGTTATTTTAGTCTGTCTCCTTTCCTAGGCAATAAGGATAAAAGTTGTACGCTTCTATAGAGACGGCTCTTACCGTTCTCTTCGGGATAGTTGCTTGGGCTGTTCAAGCTCCAGCTGAGTCACTTTCTTTACTTTCTGTACTACTCGATTCGGGTTCTCGATTTCTATCAAGCCCTCCACACCTCTTCTCTTCTGCAGAAGAAAGGAAAAAGAGTAGCTCTTATAGGTCCGTGCCTTGCCCATATATATGGTTTACTTTAATATGCTGTTCAGCTTGATAATTAGCGCCGACTACCTGGCTGCCTTCGTCTTCGCTGTCTTCGGAATCAGACTCAGGGAGCTTTTCTTCCACATGGCTGTCACTTACTGTTGCTCCCTCTTCCTCATCCTAAAAACATTTGAATGGTAAAGGAAGGTTCAGGTCAAGGAAGGCTAAGCACAAGCACATAAGTTAAAATGACTTTAGTCTGCTCTTCTTTGGATAAAGGACTACATTTAATTTTGCAAGTCTCACAATTATTTAAATCTTCTATTTAAAGGTGACGAATTTATCGCAACTCCAGTAAAACCAGTTTTTTTTTTTCCTTTAGTTTAAGCTTTTAAAATGTTAAGGTTGCTTCGAGAACAGTTTTATGACCTTCCTTTAGCTTTTGCTTTCTGAGAGATTTGCACTCTTATTAAGCTCACCTTTTGCAAAGGCTGACATCCAATCTTCAAATCACAGAGATGAATTCACAGTGAGGAATGTTACAGAGCGTTGCGTTAGCCTTCTTGGTTCTGTGATTTGTGTTTGGGAAGAAAGAGTGCCACCTACTGGGCTCACAGCCACTGGGCTCAAACCGCAGCAACCAGTTCTCCTAAATCTAATGTTACTGGACATTTATTTTTGGTGGGCGTTGGCTTTGAAATCTTTTGAGATGAGGATTCTAAATGATTTTCACAAGAATATTTATTCTTGAAGAGTTTACAAAAAATATGGTAAGAGGGTGAAGAGCACCCAAAATGAAACTGAAGGAAAATGAATAATAGTTGTGTCAGAGTTAAAATACCCAACTATACGAACTGCTTATCTCTTGAACGTGACAGGGAGATCTTACACAGGAAAAAAGACGAGAGAAAAACGCTAAATGACGACCGAAAGCAGATCCAACTCCCATTATTTTAATGTTATTTGGACTGACATTTTGGTCTGTTGTAACATCGTCTTATTCATGGGTGAGTTCATATTTTATTTCACAAACTAAAACGAAAGTTGAAACCTGCAGCTCTACAAATCCCCACCTTCCGTTTCTCTTTCTCAGCTTTCATCTGAGCGTCTATCTCTTCGGGGCTAGTGTAGGTCCTCATGCGTCCCTTATGGCTTCCCTTTTTACCTAGAAAAGGTGAAAAGAAGAGGAAAAATCAAAATAAAACGATTCTGTGATCTACTGATGCTCCTGAATGTACCATCACTGTATTACTCCGGTCTCAGAACCTGGCATTTTTAAGTAACTAATGCTTTCAGGTAACCATGGACAGCTGGAAGGCAATTCTGACAAATCCAGACATCACATTCATAAATACATTGCTCTGTCTTTAAGGAGAAATCTTACTTCTTACTTTGCCTTCCACGTCCAGCAGGATTTTACATGTAGCTGCTAGTGTATTAAATGTTTGACAGCTGACACGGACTTAAGATTTAAGTTATAACAGTTCCTCACCTCCTTTTGGCATTCTGACTCGCTTAAATTACAAATCCAAATGTAAGTTTTAAAAAGAACCGACTAAGAAATCGAAACTGCTTCTTACGCCACCCCTGCCTGAGAAACTCGTCATACGAAGACCTCTTCATTTAGCTGTCTATGTATCTTCCTCGTACGTTGTAAAAAGCAATAATATCGTGGAACTATTACGGGAAAAAACGAGTACATAGGTCACTTACATTATTTGTTTTGCACATTAAATAACCAATACATGACAAACACGTTTCCCTTTTAAAAGTAATATTAAAAATGGGTTACTAATTTCTCAGGCATTGGACAGGTGGACAAACATGATGCAATATCGTTGAGTCTAGTAGCAATATCTTTTTTAAAGCGTTTTGTATCTCCCTGTCATGTAAAAGATCAAACAAACTTAAGAATACATAGAATGTATTATGAAGCAGAAAATAAAATGTTCAATAATCAATCGCACGTTTTTTTCAAATGTGTTAATTGTAAAATACTTGTAAATGTCGCGTCCATTTTGTAAGACGGGATGTTGTCATGGTGAAAAGGGTCCCCTTCATTCGTGTGTGACGTCATTAGTAAGAGACAAAAAGACCAGTACAATAAACGAAGGTTCCGGAGGCGAGTAAATTAGCAAGGAAAGCGATTGTGGAGAGACGTGATAGTGTTTCACAAGATGCCTAAAGTGAAGAGGAGCAGAAAGCCACCTCCAGACGGATGGGAACTCATTGAGCCCACTCTAGATGAGTTGGACCAGAAAATGAGGGAAGGTGAGGGGACAACGTATGAAAATTGACTCGCGGCGGAGTGGTGCAAGGGAAACATTCCTGTCGAGCACGGGAAATAAAACTTTGGTTTACCAGACATAACCATTCTTGCTTTCTTTAACACTTAACCACGCGTGTTGGCAATATTAGTGTTGTTGTTGTTGTTGTTTGTGTTGCTGTATGAGGAAGTTGTTTAGTCATTTGTCTTATTACGAATATTGTAACAACCCCTTTCCAAACACTCAGCAGTTTTGCTTTTAGAAATGTTTAGGCACGAAAGTACCAACGCACTCTTAAATACCACTGTGAGTCACAACTAAATTATTCATACCTCACCTGTTCACGTCTTTCCAAATGGATTATTTGAGGTTGACCTCGAAAATGAGCTGAATTGTGGCTCTCCAGGAGCAGGATTGGAAATCTCGCTGCAGTGCAAAGGACCGTACAGTCCACGTCTATCAATGAGCACATTAACGTAAAAGAAACTGGTATTCTAGAACAAGAAGATAAATCAAAGGAATATAATGAGTTAAAGAAACCTTTTTTTGTCATTTGGGGCCCTGACCGCCTTTTTCTTAACCTTTTTATTAACTTTTTTTCCAGCTGAAACGGAGCCCCATGAGGGGAAGAGAAAGGTGGAATCGCTGTGGCCTATTTTCAGACTCCACCATCAGCGAAGTCGCTACATCTTTGACCTGTTCTACAAAAGAAAGGCTATAAGCAGAGGTAGGTTTATTCATCTGGCATTCTTAATGAACGCCAGTACTCAAAATGAGGAAGGTGATGTAATGTGTGGTGAATTTTAAGATGCATTTTGTGTATGAAAAATATTTTCTCAAAAGTAATTCTGTACTTGAGGGACATTTATTAGGGACATGGCGATGAGACTCTTATGACTTTTGAATCAGAAGAAGCCACCACTTAGATTTTAGGATGTTTAGACTTCGTAAGGTCCAGTAACTTAATTGAATGCTATTTAACCTCACAGAGCTCTATGAGTATTGTATCAAGGAGGGATATGCTGACAAAAATTTGATTGCAAAATGGAAGAAGCAAGGTTACGAAAACCTGTGCTGTCTGCGCTGTATCCAGATCCGAGATACTAACTTTGGAACCAACTGCATTTGCAGAGTGCCGAAGAGCAAGCTGGAAGTGGTGAGTGTTTTGTTTGTAATGTTTGCTCATGTAACAACCTGGTGACCAATTTGTTCCTTGATTTTATCTTGACAAATCTTTTGATGTGGGCTATTTATGCTTTGTAAGCTATTTGTTAAGGAAAGTAATGAGGTTTCTCAACATTATTCATACATTTATGGGTTTGTATTTGTTCGTTTGGCAATTAGCTAATGCGGACTTAAACAAGCGTGCTTGAAGCGATAATTTAACATGTTGCTTTTAGCATGCTTAATTATTGGAAATGTAGAGTGGGATTATGTGCAATAATAAAAGACATTAAAAAATTATAAATGGTTTTTCCATAGGGACGGATTATTGAATGCACTCACTGTGGATGCAGGGGATGCTCTGGATGAAGCTGTTGCTTGTGCAGAAAATGGATGGATATTAGGGCTTACATGAACCTAGATTCCTGTGCTTTTAGAAATACTGGACTATACTTGGATTAATACTCTTCCCACTTGAGGATCTGTAGTGTACACTGTGATGATTGTGCTATACCTTCTGCTCATGTTAAATTAGGTGCTGTATTACCAACCACTGTCATTGCTGTACACTGTCAGTGTGTTTTTTATAAGTGCATCTTTGTTATCTTAATAAACCTATGCTACGATGAGACGGAAATCCAGTCTTTATTAGCAGAAATTTAGATTAATCAAAATGGTCATATTATGATTCAAGTTATATTAAATATGGACTATTCATTACAAATGCAGTGAATGTAGTATAAAAATGTATAAGTGTGGTATTCTGTCTTGCTTCTCACGACACCAAGTTTTAGGTTCTATACTGTAGTTCATGAGCAGTCAAATGAGACAACCAAAGAACTTACGTGCTTGTTTATGTACTGCATACAAAAAGAAATGTTCTGCAATTTAGACACTGATACAAAACACTTAACAAGTTTTAAATAGAAAATCACTGCTGTTGCTATTACAATACATTATAATTACTACACTTCTCTTTTAATTCCACTTGTATTCACAAGAAGTAAACATGATTATTAATACTAAATCTGAACTGATTACATCAATTTTGTTAAACTCCTAATTTGTGGCTTTGGGGTCTTCTCCACTGTTGGCCTGCTCCACTTCCACTTGCTTTGTTGGAGTTTTAAACTTCTCCCATGGGTGTGGAGTCTCTTGGGCAGGCACAGATTTCAACCAGTGGTTATAGTAACCACGGAACCCATCGATCTTTTCCAGGTAAGTGTTTTTTGATTTGTACTGAAAAAAAAATAGAGAAAGACAGGTCTTCATTAAGCTATGCAGAACATGAAACAACCATCGCTACCCTGGTTTAAAACTAATATTTACTTGATTATGTTGTGAAAGACTCTTCCCAACTTCATAATATTGCTAATTTCAGTTAACATCTTTCCCAATCTAATGCATCCTTTTGCCTTTTCCAAATTTGATTATGGTAATGTAGTCTTTTCTGGTATATCCAAATATTCTGAATATGCTGCAGTTTAAGACCTTAGCTGCAAGGATGTTAACTAAAATGCCTGAGCATATGTCCCCAGTGGATTTTAGAACAGTCAAAATAGTGCTGCTCTCCTTTAAAAGCTCCATCTGTTAGTTTACTCCTAATTACATTAGAGATAACTCCATCTACACTTTTTGGACTCTCGCCTTCTTTCAGGTCACAATAGAAAGCTCTGAATACTTCAAGATTGTACTTTCTGTTGTTCACAAAACCAGACAAATAACTGAATTTGAGCTAAACACGAATATGAAAATATTATGAAGGTTTCCATAGGAGGCATATAAAAACACTGGAGTTAACTGCTGGATAAGAGAAAAACTGCAACTTGCCTTATCGAAGTTTGGGGGGTACTGAGCTGCAAACTCCAGCTGCCTGATGATGACCTCATTGGGGGCAACCTTGTTGTGCTTCATATGTCTGAGAATCTCTGTGAGGTACACGTAGTCCAAACGCTTCGCAGCACTGTTGAGCAGGGCACTGTATACATGGGCATTTGGATTGACGCCACATGCCTGTATGTGATGGGGGAAAAAAAACAGAATACAGTAATGCAAGGTTAATGTTGTTAAATTTATAACCAGACAATATTGGTATAATATCACTCAATCTACAGTAATTCTAAACTTGGTTGTGTTATGTCACATTTTAAGACCTGTTGGTTTTAAATCTGCCACAAATTCCACCAACTCCTCCATTCTTGTGAAAAATGGACATTTAATTCTAACAAAGATTGGAACTCGTTGTAGATTTGCTGGAAGAGAGTTTATTCTACTGCGGAGCGTTCCATCACCACACTGGAGCTGGTCCGGACTTTCTGATTAAGATGGAAACGTGCCACATTCGTGCACACCAATACAACTACAGACAGCAACAATTTTCCTTTAAGGTCACACATCCACTTACTGTGAGACCAGACCCAGCTTTTCATAGCTTAGCTTTAGAACAATAATTCCTTCCATTTATACAGTGCTTTATTATCACAGAGGAATCCATAGCACTTTATACAAAGATGGGGCCCCATTTTTCTCAACCCATTTGGCAGTGGCTGCCCCACTACACAGCAGATCATGAATGAAAGGGAGAAATCGCTTCACCAAACGAATTAAGAGGGACTTTATGTTGGCCAGACAGTGCAAAATCATGTTTAATTTTCATGTCCTAGAAAGATCTGAGCTTCAAGGTGGCAAACCTGCTGAGAGCACACTGTTTTGCTACTGCAGAATGTTAATATTGTCAGGGATCCCAGTAAGGTCAGTGTTGGATCTACTTTAGTAATGTGCATGGCTGTTTTTCTTACCTGCATATCAGACAACAACTGCAGGCCGTCTTTCTGGGTCCTGCAAGCTATAGCCAGGCTACAGAAAGTATGAGTATTAGCTTCCAGAGCTCTCTCAGACACAACAGATAACAGAGCCTGAAAGAAAAGAAAATAATTTTAAGAGTTAGAGAAGACCGCATTGAATTATGGCACTTAACACAATGCAGCACAGTACAATGCAGACTCCTCTTTACCTTGGCTCCTTCTAGATCACCCAGTTTAGCCTTTTTCCGAACCCAGGTGTTGAAGAATAAAATGTCTGGTTTTAATCCATGTTCTTCAAAGATGGACAGCAAGCTGGATTCTGACTGGCTTCCAGATTCCACGATGTCAGCTAACAAAGTCAGAGTTCTGATGTCAGGTTTCAGTCCGTGGCCTTTCATCTTGCTAAGAAAACCTTCCATGTTGCCCATCAAGGCCAGCCTGTCAGAAGCACTCCTGACAGACCCAAGGGAAATAATATTTGTGTAATCAATTCTCAGGTCAAGTAGGTTCGGTAGACTCTCACTGGTCACTGAAGACAGGGGGGAAGTAGATTCAATGGGAGTAACATGGTTTCTGTTCACAGGCACCAAGTCTGAAAATACATCTTGGTTCAAGTACTTCTGATTCGGGTTAAGGTCATTTTCCATCACTGGCTTGTCTAACATTTCCTCGTTTAAATGAGCAGTTACATTTCCAACCTGCAGCGATTCCTCTCCCCTCCTAGTACTTGCTTCCAGAAAAAGCTGGCTTTCGAGAGCATCAACATCTAGGGTTGCTGCACATGTCCACTCCTTTCCATTTTTCACCTTCTGACCTCTTCGTCCTCTCGTGACCTTTGGGGTTACTGCCTCTTCATTACTCAGCAGTAGACGGGAAGCCACTGAGGAGTCCCCTATCCCACAATCCCGAGCAGCACGAAGTAGCAGGTTGTAGCTGTGAGAATTAGGTTCTATCCCTACTTTTAGCATCTGACGCCAAACCTGTGGAGCAGATTACAAGAAAATGTGAGACCATTTAGCAACACCATTAAAATGGTTTAATTAAATGTACAGCTTTTAGCATAATGGTGCACAACAATCTAGGAAGTACGGTGCTACCCCAGAGAGACTCAAAAAATGATCGTTTTAAATTTAGAGAATGTTAATATTCTTCAAATTGTACATATCATTCATATCATGTAATTAATCCATTAATAACTCATAAAAGAGCTTTACTATGAATACTCTGTACAATATAAAAATTGTTGTGAAGTTGCTTTTGCAACAGGAAGCTAGGATATTACTTTTGTGATCCGTTTCACATGGGATAGAGCAGTTTGTTGAGATGATCAAATGGAAGTCATTCTCTCTCACCTGCAGTGCAAACCTAAATCCATGCTCTTTATCTTTGAGGCAGCCCATAAGCAGGAAGTTGAAGGTTTCTTGTGTGATCGCATGGCCTTTTTGAACTATCTCCTACAAAGACAACAAATAATATTTCTCGAAGCAGAATAAACTTGTGCCTGACACACTACCAATAACAGCTCTAACCCTAACTGCATCCCTAACTTCACCAAAGATTCAACCTTAGCCTTGGCTACAAATTTAGTCCTAACATTAGAGACAAAACCATCTCCAACTTAAATTCTTCAGCTGAGTTTGGTTTAATGACAAGGCAATGTGCATTGCTTTTGGTAAAGATCAGTTTTGGCCTGACTTTCTGCCAAGTACTACACTATTCTATGAGGGGAAAAAAGCCTTCTAACAAGAGCTATGATCCTGAAGGAGTTGCGTCACCAAAGAGGGATCATACACCCCAAATGGCAGACCTGGTACCTTGAAAATGTGGAAGCAGGCCCTGAGATCAGAGCACAGAGCATGGGTCTTAAGCAGGGCATGGTAAGTGATGAGGTTGAGTGGAATGTTCTTCCTCTTCAGCTCGTGCTGGAGCTTGAGGGCTTGCTGTAGCCCGGAATCCTTCCAGGGAGACTCGGCACAGGCATTGAACAAAGCAGTGTAGGTGGCATCTGTGGGCACCAGGCCTCGCTTCTTCATCTGCACACAAAGACAGACATGCATTTACAGAACTTGCATGGCACCACTCTTCCATAGGCATACTAGACTCCGTAATTAAAGAGGCTGTGCAGTCATCTGGTTTTTCTTCCTCTTAGAGCCCTTAAATAGTCATTTTTTCATTCTAACAGTTTTGCCAGATGTAGGCTACTGATGATTTTAAAATATGCAACTTTCCTTACACACAACCCTTCAGGCGGAGCAGTGGCTCTGTGGCTAAGGATCTGTGCCTGTGACTAGAAGGTTGCCGGTTCAAATCCCGCGGCCGGCAGAGGAATCCTACTCTGTTGGGCCCCTGAGCAAGGCCCTTAACCCCAACTGCTCCAGGGGCGCGGTATAATGGCTGACCTCTGACCCCAAGCTTCTCTCCCTGTCTGTGTGTCTCATGGAGAGCAAGCTGGGGTATGCGAAAAGACGAAATCCTAATGCAAGAAATTGTATAGGACTAATAAAGCAACATTATCATTATTATTATACACTAAATATTTGGATTTCAAAATGCAATTCTACTACACTTTATTTAGTGTGGATTTCCACAGTGGAAGAATTTATGGGCATACATTCTAGGGCAGAGTCAAATCTCAACAAGTCGGCAAGCTGGACAAGGGTGGAGCTTTTTCACACCCCCTTAACTTACATCATTGTAGAGTTTAAAAGCCTTTTTGAGGTAGCCCACTCGGCCGCAGCCCCCAATCAGCACGGTGTAGTTGTACTCCTCTGGCTCGAGGCGCTCAGCTTTCAGCATCTGCGTCTCAAACATGTCCAGAGCCTCAGCAAGCTGCAGGATGAGGAGAGAATCCTCTTCAGAACAAACCAGGGATTTTCTTTTCCAGACGCACACGACACCAAAACACTGGCGCTTGAGAATCAGGATTAGCACATTTTACAAGAGTTTTTTTTCCTCATAATTATAACCATTATACACAGTCTTTTTCATACTTTAAGCAGTGCTGAAACGCAAACAGTGTAAAACCAGCTCCGGGGACAGGAGTTAATTCATGTGCACACCGAAATAACCTACAGAGTTTGAGACTGCATTCTTTTAAAATCCAGACTGAGAAGCAAAACAACAAATCCGTCTTACCTTGTTCTGCTTCAGGAGCTTCTTACACTGAAGAAAGTACCAGTAAGTGGTGTTTCTTTGCACTGGTCTGGACACCACCTCCTCTTCCTCCTCAGCCCGACTTGCATCTCTGTACTTCAGATCCAGCAGCTCTGGCGACATTTTACGGAAAACTTTCCGGGATCCATAGGATTTGGCAAAAGACCCAAAATCCTTCTCAGCTTGGTCAGACCCCTCTAGTTCCACACATGTGGGCACTGGGTCACTGGTTCTCTCAGACATCGGCGCACTGTTCTGTGTCACCTTAGCACTGTGACAATTCTTCAGGGAGGATGAAACACTGACATTTCTTGACTGTGCAGCCCTGCCTGTCCCCAAAGAATATGTCCTTAAGTGGGGAAGGCGGCCTCCTGGAACCTCTTTACAGGTCAGAATAGACAAGGCAGGGGGGATACTTAGATATTTTGAAATAGAATGAAGACCCGCATTGCAGTGGTTTCTGAAGCACATCAAGGACAGAAGCTTAGACATTCTTAACGTCGGACAACTACACTGAAAGAGAAAAGAAACTATTAGTTATTACCTTACTAAAAAATGTTATCATCGGAGTGTCGAGGTAATAACATGCTGTTTCACTTTAATTGCGTTTTGTGTAAATTAAATACATGAAGTACTGTTCATATGAATACCATATATACTGTTATATCTCTGTGCATACAAAGAATACAATGTCCTTTAAATCCTTCCAAACAAAAATTCGAAAGCCATATAAAACTAGACTGTCACAAAGCGGTCGAGTTCAGCAAAGCAACGTGGCTGTCAAGCGATATAAGAATACTTTTCTGTGCTCAGAGATGTGGTGCGTTTTGAAAATAAATATTTCGAATTACTTTAAACCGTACTATCTTTTATTCCACAACGTTACAAGCAGGACCCATTTAAAGCAAACTCCGAAATCCAGTGTGATTTAAGTATTACAAGCCTCTCAAAGACAACAGCAAATTTAAAAGAGACAGTTAAGAAGGAACTAGGTCTTAAGCATCATATGAAAAACGATTTGAAAAACCATTACCTTTGATAAATCTTAGTGCATTTCAGTGTTCCTCTGTCGAGCCCTTCAGATCCTGAGTGTAACAACTAGAAATAGACATAAATACAGCAACCACCATCCACACGAGACAAGGACCTGAAGATCACGGGTAAGGACTACAAAAAGACTCCCGAAATGTCGATATATCGACACACGACAACATTTGATACTTGTATTAATAATTAAACCTAGATGATATTATCATTTTCTCTTATTTTTAAATATCTCTCTCTCTCCTGTTATGTGAAATATTTGTGAAAATATTAATATCCGCGTTATTCAGAATAAAAAAAAACGAAATTATGTTATTTATAGAAATAGTGTAATTCATAGTGTAGTTCGATTCCATAACGCAATCAACTCACATGAAACGAGTTACAATTTAAAGCTGTTATTTGCGCTTCTGCGCAGGGATCGATTAGCCAGGTCTATAGCTAGGTCAGAGTTCAGAGTTCAGAGTTCAGGTCCGGGGTGTTTCGGCGATAGCGAGGCAGCGAATCGGGAAAGGGTGAAGAGAGCCGTGTTTTATATTTGTGTTTTGTCTTATTTCGCGTTTTAATTTTCCGATTGTTTTATTTATTAGTTTTTCACCCCAGTGGTTCGTTCTTCACCACGGATCAAAGATGCAGGAGTTGATCGCCACGGTAGATCATATTAAATTTGATCTGGAGATTGCCGTTGAGCAGCAGCTGGGAGCTCAACCTCTGCCTTTCCCGGGCATGGACAGTGAGTTTGAACTACGGATACTTCCTCGGCGTCTCTGGTCCAGTCCAGAAAGGAATTAAAAAGGATTGCAGGCTGCTACTAACTCTTATTCCCTTGCCAGACAACCCAGTGTAATAGTATGGGCAAAGTGTACTTTTAAATGGATTAAGAGTATATTCAGCTTTTCAATAAAGAGTATTTAAACTCTAGTGTTTGATTGTTTATGATTTTCCCTAGAAAAGAAACCCTTCCCGTGGCCCGATTTGTAAATGTAGAATTGAAGTAAAGATTGCAAGCTAACAGTCTCAAGTTTTTATAAATAAATACATTTTATACAATAAACGGAAACGATAATGGTGGAGCCCGTTCCCCTCTATTATACTGGACGAACAATACAGCGGCTATTACATTTTAATTTAAAATGGATATTTTTGATACTCTGGCTAATCGAGCAGGGTAATAGCATCAGCTTGTTGTATTTCGCCTTCAGAGTCCGGTGCCGCTGTGTGCGAGTTCTTCCTGAAAGCTGCCTGTTTAAAAGGTAAAGACACTCACGCCTTCGTCACATTTATTCACAAGACTTTCCTAACATTGACGAGGTCGATTTTTTTGTTTTAGGGGAAATGTTGATGTTGGGGAAGAATTCTTTCACAAGATTCCTAACTTGTTAATGTTGGGGAAGGGCGCCTTCGCGATCATTTTTTTTTTAAAACGTGCAGAAGGTTCCTGGAGACCTGTTGTCATTTTTGTCCTGAAGGTGGGATGTGCCCTTTCCGGCACATCAGCGGAGAGAAGACGGTGGTCTGCAAACACTGGCTGAGAGGGCTCTGCAAGAAGGGGGACCAGTGCGAGTTCCTGCACGAGTATGACATGACTAAGATGCCCGAGTGCTATTTCTACTCCAAATTCGGTAGGTGCCCTGCGCTAGCTAGCGTAGACTGAGCTTTGTGATGCTTGCATTGTGGGGTCTTCTTGTTTACAGACCTGTATTGGAGGAGCAGGGTTCATTTCAGTTAAAATAATACAAGGACCATATCTCCGGGCGGTTGACAGGGGTGAGAGGTGTGCTATATGAGGTTCGAGTAGGGAGCTGCAAAGGAACAGGTAAAGGTTTATTCCATGCTGAAAACAGACGTTTCGGCTGCGAAGCCCTCGTCAGGTGTGCTATATATTTGTTATTTTCACTTTAACAGTGTATTGATCCACTTAAGAAGAAATAATATACCTGTTCCTGCAAGCCAGCCTTGTATGGGATGTAATCTCTGTATGTGTGAGAGAGATGAAGCAAGTTCTTACTTTGCTTGCTTCCCTTTAGACTCCCTCTTAAAAACATCAGATCTGCTTATTGTACGGTCCACGTGAGCAGAGGTAACACACCATTAATGCTTTGAAAACAAAACATCAATGTATGTAAATATAATAAAGGCAAGAATGATTTCCTTCGCTGGAGAGTCTTTGCTGGTTAAACACTACTATAACAATAAGAAACAATAAGAAAACACAGTTAGTGTAAAGTTGTACTTAAAATGATCAGTTAATAGTGAGCAGTGTATATTATTAACCCAGGGAAGCTAACTGTAAATGCACCAGGGACAAGATGTGCAGCGTCTTTGGTTCAGCAGTGACTGAGCTCTCTGGGACTGTAAATCCTTTGGTGCTTGCAGGAGAGTGCAGTAATAAGGAATGCCCATTCCTGCACATTGACCCTGAATCAAAGATTAAAGACTGCCCCTGGTATGACCGAGGATTCTGCAAGCACGGTAAGTATTTTTTTTTTAAACAACACTCTAAACTACTAGACGTTTACCATGAGAAAGAGACTTGACGTTTCACCCAGAACAAATGAGCTGGATTTTGAAGTAACATTTATTGGTTCAGCCACTTTAAGTCAGAAAGGGATATGTTGACGAGCAAGTTCCAAACTGTACAAAACTGAACCTCTGTAACAATTACTGAACTGCTCGCTAGTCTTGTCAACCATGTCTTCCATCTGACCACTTTACTGTGTTAGTGTCTTGGATTCTTTGGATTCGAGTTGCTCATATTCAGTGTAGGAATGGACTTGTCACCTGGACAGACTGGGTGAAGCTGGGAGACACATGTAGCCATGTGGCTCAGAGACTATCAATGGGATTCCTTCTGCAGTCACAGAATTCTCCTGTTGAAATACCCTTGTGCTCATCATGTGGTAATTCATTTGCAGGTCCCCAATGTAGACACAGACACACTCGGAGAGTCATCTGTGTCAACTACTTGGTTGGCTTCTGTCCAGACGGACCCAACTGTAAATTCATGCAGTGAGTACAGACCCTTTTTAACAACAGTATTGATCTGGTGTCACAGCTCAGCAAATTGAAATGTGGGAAGGTAAGATAAGATAAGATCACTTCATTAGCCTTATACAATTTCTTGCATTAGGAATTTGTCTTTTCACATACCCCAGCTTGCTCTCCATGAGACACACAGACAGGGAGAGAAGCTTCGGGTCGGAGCGCAGGGTCAGCCATTTATACGGCGGCCCTGGAGCAGTTGGGGTTCACGGCCTTGCTCAGGGGCCCAATGGAGTAGGATTCTTCTGCCGGCTGCGGGATTTGAACCGGCAACCTCCCAGTGCAGATCCTTAGCCACAGAGCCACCGCCTTGCCCCTGGTGATGCCCACTGTGTCTCATTAACATGTTGGTATGTCCATTCACGGAGGCTAAGTTACAGACATGATCAAATACACATTTCCAATTTTACACATTAGCAAACTGATCCTTAAATCGGTATTCGACCTCTGAAACAGCTGTTTAATTGTACTTTAGTGATTTCAGCTTCTTGGTAATATATTCTTAAATGAATATTTGAACTCTCTTATGATTAAGTGTTAGAAATGTTTGTCAAACTGTACATATTTGACTGAAATTTTCATACATTTTGATTAAACACACCACTGTACATTCTAGCAAGTGTTAATGGTCGTAAAACTTCAATATTCCTTGAGTTAAGGTGGGTAGGGTTGAAATTACCCAGAAATCACAGATCGGTTGGATTGATGTACCTGTCATGTAAAAGTTAGAAATGGTTGCCAAACATTAACGGTCTCACACTGTCTGAAGAATAGTAAAATATTGTGCCTCTTTGAATTATTTCTAGCTATGGGAAACAAACAGATTGTGTCATAGTCTCTTATTTCTTGATTCATAGTCCCCGTTTTGAGTTACCTATGGGAACTTCAGACCAGCCACCATTACCACAGCAACAACAGACACAGCAAAAGGTATGGAACCTGAAAATAGTTGGTTACCACTGCTCTGGTGTTTGTCTGGCTTTTATTCATGTACAAGGAAAGATGAGGCTTAGCAATTGTTTTAAATCGGAATTACGCTGTGCTATTCTATGTTAAGACCTGAGGTTTTACATTTTTCAGTAAGCTAACCAGTAAGCTTTTAAATTGTTTTAGATTTTAAATTCTTTTATGTTACTTGAAAATGTGTGCTGAAAATCTGCAGTGCATGATCTGAGAAGTTTTGAAAATAAAACATTGAATATAAAACGCTACATAGTAGTATTATTCGATATTGACTTTCTCTAACCAGCAAAACATTCAACCCATGAATCAGAGGTCTTCATCGTTGATCCAGTTAACCAACACCAGTTCAAACTCCAACCACCAGAGGGCGCCACAGGTTATTGGGGTGATGCAGTCCCACAATAACGCAACTGGCAACAGGGGGCCGCGGCCTCTAGATCAAGTCACATGTTACAAGGTATTTACCTTTCTTACAAAATTCTTTTCCCCATCAAAACAGACTTGAGTTTCTACTGCTGTCACGTCTCGCATATTTATAGTCACAGACGAGGTTTTATAGAAATTGACAGACGTTCTGTCAAAATCCACCATGAACCAAGGATCATTTTCACAGTGTAAACTGTCATCCAGCCTATTTGTAAAATTTCTATTTAATTTGACCTAATAACTAATAATAAAATAAAAAGATTGGCCAGGGTGCACCCATTGCTTTCCAGGTTAATCTCTGGCTGGCCTACAACTCTGTGCTGGATAAGCTGTTTAGAAAATGGATCAAATGAAAAAATAAAAATCTTGTGGTTCGCTAGGACCAAAATTGGTCACTCACCTAATGCATTTTTTAACCCCAGACAGACTGTGAGACTTGTCAGGTTATTTCAGGCTGGGTTTGAAGCAGCAGGAATACAAATGGAAGAATGAATCAAGCTATTGATATTTGATTCAAAACCCCAGACCATCCATAGGTGTAATTATTTTTACTTACAAATTTCTCAGCAGTGGACACTGCTGTGCTGTTGTACTTCCAATATCTGAACCAGATCCCAAACTGTATGCCTGAAGAACCACCAAGAGCCTGTTTTCCCATATCTTCCTATGTCACTGCAGCATTTCACTGGTGTCAGAGTGAGTGTTGTGAGTTTAGTGTAACCAGCCTCATGAATGATTCTCCTTTTAGAGCACCTTGACACAGTGCCGCTCATTGATGACAACAGTATGGAGACAGAAGGCTAATACAGAGCAGAAGGAATGTCACACACACTTTATTCAGATTACCCAATGAAAGGAAAGCTTTGAATGATGAGCTGTGTGCTGCCATTTCACTGATAAATGATTAGAGATGACAAGCTGGATGAAAATCATGGGAGCAGTCGTGCTTTTCTGATCATGGCTATTGTATCTGGCAGGATAGAATCTCCCCCATGAAGGGAAATTGGGTCTGGGCGATTAGAATTCCCGTTTAAATCAGTGTTAGACTGAGAGCTTGTCAGTCTTTACCAGCAAAGAAGAGGACTTCATCAGATCCTTTAGTCGTCAGGTTAATATGGGGCACTTTTCTTTTCTGGCCATTAGTCTGATAATCATTCAAAGCTTCCATTGGGGGGGAAAAATGCAGCATCTGTCCCTTCTTAAACTGAAAATGAGTCTACCATAAGCGCTGGTCACAAAGCTTGCATTAAAGCTTGCAACCTCTTCTGATAGTAGCCAGTTTGATTAGGTTTTTTTTATTTCAATGTATTTTTGTATTTTTGGAACTTGGTCAATTTTAGTAGTCTTTCCAGTAATCGTAAGCCTTGATTCTCTGGACTCTGGCTTTTCTCCAAATATCTTGTCCACAGGCAGCATACAAGACAGTGCCGATTACATGTTTTCTTTCTCTCTTACTAAATGGAGCACGGCTGTACTGTATTTTCGGTTCATGCTTGCTTGCTAGTTGTATTTTTGTGGTGGACTCTGCTGTAAAAACACATTTTGCCCCCAAAGGATAAGAGAGCTTGATTTGAACTGAATTCTTTCCCTGCCTTGTCCACAGTGCGGCGAGAAAGGCCACTACGCTAACAGATGTACGAAAGGGCACCTGGCGTTCCTGAGTGGACAGTAGTTCTCCTCGTCACTTGCACACAGACGGCAAGCTCACAGGGAAGCTGGAGTGGTTCTTTCACCCACATAAATAGCAGTTTAGGACGAGTGCCAGGGGCTCTGTGACACTCTTGTTCATTTAAGTGGCAAGGCACAGACTGAGGAACTCCATTTGACTTGTCATATTCACTGTGTCCTTTTTAATGGAGATAGCTGATGTACAGCCTTCCACCAAGAGCTGCATTTTGAAATTGTTCTGTCAATGTTGCAGTAGACCTGAAGCTTAGTGCTGGCTTCCCTTTTCTCATGTGGAATGAGGGGAATAATTAAGATAACTGTGTGACCACTTAAGTTCATGTATTTGGATTTTCAATGAAAATGTACCTCTGTCCCCAAGGCATAAAACTTGCAGTAAGCAAGGCACTCCGGAACTTCATTAAAACAACTCTCAATTGTGTAAAAGATATATGAACACAAAATGAGCCCAACATTCTCTGTTATTTTCCTTCGACGGGATGAAGTTGTAATTATTAATTCTACTGCATGTGGCATATTGAGGCATATGACAGGGTGGTAAAGGCAGGTGTAACAGAAGTATGTATTTTTTTATGTACAGGTAAAGACAGAAGCCGCCCAAAAACACCTAGTCATTTTGATTTATGTCGGAGTTTTTGTATTTTTTTATAGTAGGATGTTAAAAATACTTTGTTAAATAATTATGAGAAAAACTGCTTTGTGCAATTTTTTTTTTGTTCTTTTAATTTAACCCACAAACTCCAATGGGTTCAGACAGGATGAATTACCTCCACTGAATGAAGATCCCGGAATGCTGCTGGTTGCTGTGCACGCCAGCTCTATAGGACCAGCCCTAGGGCAAATTTACAAGGATATGCTATATCATTTTTTTTCCCTTCATGCTGCATTACAGTACTTGAAGGCAAAGCTCTTTTGGAAAATCATAGTCTTTAAGTAATCTCACTTAATTTCTTTGCATTTTTTTTTGTTAGAAATTGCTTATCCGGTTAAATTAAGGGGGCATAATGTGTAAACCCAGAGTGCACTTGAGCCAAAATGCTGTGGTTAACACCTGTAGTACTAAAATAGGCTATGCAATCTTTAATAACCAAGTAGACAGAAATTCAGTTTAACATCTCATCTGAACAACAGCACCTCCTACTGTACAACACTGCCATATTAACACGTTTAGAAATGCCCAGAAGGAAGTGTGCCACCTTCTGGCACACAAGTTTTCCTTGGGATAAAGATTGGGTTAACATATCAGGAACTTAAATTCTCCATCCATTTTCTGACCACTTTATCCAGTACAGGGTTGCAGGGGATCCAGAGCCTATCCCGGCAAGCACTGTGTGCAAAGCAGGACACTCCCTGCATGGGACATCAGTCGATCACAGGGACTGGAACTAATCTAGTGTTATTTTTTAACCCCTTGCACACTTCTGCCTTTTAAAGTTCAGTTCATTTTTTTCTCAACACTTTTTCTTCAAATTAAAGAATGGAAAAACACCCAAATAGATTGAGATTTTTCCTTCCTGCTAAACATCAAGCATGTACCACTCAACTCAATGAACATTAGCCATTTTTAAGTCACCATGTGGAAAGTTAAAATCATTGCACTTTCCTCTGTAACATTAATATTTTCTTTTGTCTGGTGCTGCTTACTACAGTTGATTCAGCAGGGCTGTACTTATCCTGATGGATATACCCGTAAGTGTCACTGAGTTAGTCAATTGTTCTTAAATGGTTTTTGGGATGTTTTGTAATAAAGATAAGTGTCAGAAGGGGTGTGTTTTATTACCCATGTCATAATTTTATACATTACTCCTAAAACCTGGAACAAAAATTCCACAACACATTAAATTACAATTTTATTGTTTCTTGGTCACATAGTTCACTTCGTACACAATACATAAAGTATGGTTTTTAGCACTGCTTTGATAAATGCCCTCTCAACCTGAGCAGCCAACAGTAACTCAGTAGAGGAGTTTTCAGTGGTACTTCCTCCAGCGGTCATGCTCTTCAAAAGAGAAAAGGGGGCAGAGAAATCAGATGGAACACTTATTCACAGAAAAACACTGAATGGTTTGGTAAAGGTCTAAGATCTTGTGGTATATCTGAAATATATACATGTACGTACACATGGAATAAAACAAACTACTCCAAATAACCCCCTTCTCAACAGGTCCTGTAATTGACAATTATTTTGCAAATGTTTTCACTTGGGGATCTTCACTGTGCAGTATTGAGCTGCTCAGTGCAAAAATGTGGGTTACGGTGTCTGAAGTAATCCATTTGATATTGTCATTAAATATAATAAACTGAAGCATTAAGAAATCATTTTCAACGATCAGAATCCCATTTATGGAATATTCTGCAAGGACACACTAACTGTATGACTGTACTGATTAGCCTCTGGAAGAGTCCCTGCTGTCAGCTCTGATATGTCCTGCAGATGTATGCCATACTGATTTGTGACTAGATGAAAAACAAAATAATACATTTACAGAAACCTGTAATATATACATCCCTAACTCTGTTCCTGAGCAATTTAATTGAATTAATATTACTGCTCTTCATATATTGCTTCACGACAAAAGTGAATAATGTTCGTCTATAGTCTAAATAAATCAACAGAAAAAGTCAACTTACTAATATGATCGTATTCCCAGACATAGCTCAGGATGACGTAACCAGCCAGGATCATGGCCACACCACCAATGCCCCCCTTCCTGACATTGATGTACTTGTTTTGGAACCTGTCATGCCCTGCAGTTACAAAAGCAACATTTTGCACTCAGCAGAGGATAATCAAGAAGAGCAAACGTGAAGCAGGTTTAGGAACTGTTCAATGATCTGTTCATTAGTCAACCCAAGGTCAAGATTAAGGCTTTCACTGTGATGCCCCATTAACTAATACGTTTGATTGAAAAGAGGAGCCAAACGGCTTCTAGTTTGTAATCTATGTGTTTGTTTTCCCTGCTTCAGGCCTCAGAAAGTGGGCTGTGAAGTGGAAAGTGTGTTGTCATTCACCAAAATAAATGCCCATGACATTCCCCAATCTTTTTAAATAATTTAGTGTTGGTTACAGATCAAAGTGACATTGTGGCCTAACAGGATATTAATTTTGTTCTCACAATTATGAATCGATATCAACAGTTATAAAGCTAGCAGAAATACTATGTCCACTAGTTCAGGCATAACATTTTTTAAACTCTTATATACTGTAGCCAGAAAAGCTATTTGAGTGGAGACATACCCTTAAGTTGCACTTGGGTGCATGTATTTGCAGAAATAGTTCTTATGGAAATAAGTACTTTTAGATTACATTTGGGTTTGGAAAAATTGTGATGGGATGGTTAAGATAATTGTCAGAGATTGTTTACTTAGCCCCATTTTCACTTTTTGTTGTGCAAGCCCCTATTTTTTGTATTTGCTGTTGTATTGTTTCCAAATAAAAAGGGACATATGGTGACAAGCTTTACAATTCAACTGTGTCAATCACAGGTTTTCCATCCATTAGCCTTTCAAATACTGCTGTGCTGTGTAAGTAACAACATAGTGGTATTTATAAGGCTGGAAATGAAGCAAAACAAGTGTCACTTGGAACAAAAGCCCTAGATAGTTTTGGGACCACAGCTGATACAAGACACGTACTTCTATAAACATCACAAAATATCATTTTTAATTTGGAGCACGAGAGTTCTGCAGACTTGACAAGCCTATGATATCTTTACAGTGTTATCATTTAGACCACTGCCTGTGCCCTCTGTCCGAGCACAGGCCGAGACCTACAGAACAAACTTCTGTGGTTGACTGTGGTTTCTGACTATGTCATTAGCAGCGCACAATCAACTGAATGCCACTGGAACAGGGTATGTGCCACTGGAACTGGTTGACCAGTTTTATCTTAAGCTTCTTCCTGTCTAGTACAATGGATGTAAAGGTGAATTAGAGTGAATAAGAATTAGTAATTCTGATTAGGCAGAAATATAACTGATGATAAAGGAACAGAAATCGTCAGCCAAAAAAAAATATATATTTATGTTACGAAATGGATCTGCCGAGCCTGGGACACATACCTCTACGGATAGCAGCCAGGATTCCATTAGGAGTGAAATCCCGAGTGGCAGCCCAGGCTGGAAGCTCTCCCAGCTTAACGTCCATCAGCCTCTTCTCCGAGAGCGGCACTGAAAGTCAAAGACCACTGTGGTCTCGAACTCGCTTCTAGTATGGTTACACTCAAAACAGAGCATCGTAATTCCATAACTGATGGAATGTACCTACAAACTGATGGAATGTACCTACAAATGCTTACCCGCTTTGTTTTAAGTGATAAGATCAAGGGAATTGTGTATATACATACACCCATATCATCCAGTGACAATAAGTAGCTTAAAGAACTCAAGATGGAACAAAGTTTAAAAGGCACTGTTGGCCATCCTGCTTTTAGGTTCCTGGTGTAACTGAGGTTACAATATGCCTCTAGTCTGACATTAAAGAACTTCTATGGCTTACTGTGAGCCTCACTTGAAAGGTGGCTTTGGAAAATCCTTTTAATTTCAAAGCTGAAAAATGTATTGCAGTTCATCTACAGGACAAACAGTATTATTGAACATTTAAACTTTTCATCTTTAAAACTGCAGTCCGGATGCCTAGGTCAGAGTTCAGAGTTCAGAGTTCAGAGTTCAGGTCCGGGGT